ACTGATGCTCGGTTTGAACTGCAGGAGATTGTCTTGACCATGTCTACATGCCTAAATGCACTGAGTTGCCACCATGTGATTGGCTGCTTAGAAATTAAGTGTTAACGAGCATTTGGACAGGTGTACCTAATAAAGTGGCCGGTGAGTGTAAATCTGAAATAACACTCACTGGAAATAATTCAGACATGATAGAAAATTTTAAAAACATTATTTTAATTTCTTTTACAATTCTCCTCAAATTCTGCGTAACTGCAAAAAAAAAAAAAAAAAACTGTTGTTTTTTTACAGAAACAATTGTGTTCATACATAAACACTGTTACATAAATACATTGGACTTTAAACAATTCTTTCATAGATGAGAGATGTATAATCATCAATGAAAATAAAAAGTTTTTATTGTGTAATTACCCTAATAATACAAAGATATATCATGAACACATCATTTAGATGATCAATATGCTGGGGTATCGATTAAGTGGGGCCTTCTCTGTGTCTCTGGGTTATCTTCTGTATGATGTCTGAGTTTTTCTGCATGTTTCATCTTGGGCCAAGCTTCAGTGAGGCCTTGTTGGCAGATATGTTCTTCTTGCCATGATGGTGCTTCCCCTTCAGATTTTGTTTTGGAGCTTTTTTCAAGTAAAAATTAAGCTGCAAGAAAAAAAATAAAAAATAAAAAAAACATTCATGTTTTTGTTGCCCAACTTAATCTCTTCTGAAATGTTTTAACCCAGAGACCCACCTGGATAGCTTCAGCTGGTCCCACTGTCACTGTATTGGATGAGGAAAGGTAACCTGGAGCAGAGGCTTTCATTGTGTATGTTCCTGGCAGCAGAAGTCTGAAATAGTCGCCATCCACACCTGGAGGAAACCCAATGTTTTAAAGGTTATTTCACATCGTAATTTACGGATATACTGTTCAGAATTGCAAACATCTGTCATGATCCTGCCCTTTGTAGACATTTTGGTTCTGTTTAAGTTTCCTCTTGAGTTTTCATAAATTTTTTTATTTATTTCATTCTGTGTTTTCTAGGTAATTGGTTTCTTTTCCATTTTGTGTCATTGTAGTTGTTGTCTAGTTACATTTAGGCAGTTTTGTGTTTTGTGCCCTCTTGTGCCAGTCTCCTTTCCCCTAGCTCCCTTCTAGTTCCTTCTATCCACATCTGCTCTCAGTTAGCTGATTATCTCAGTCTTTGTTCTGTCTTATATATATACTCTTCCTGTGTGGTTCTTCAGTGCTGGATTCTCTTCCTTGCTTTGCTCCTCATATGTATTTCTTCCTGGCATCTCCTGTTTTTGATTTCTAGTTTATTGTTCCAGGGGGAGACCCAGGACATGCTGGAGGGACTATGTTTCTCGGCCGGCCTGGGAGCGCATTGGGATTTCCCCGGAGGAGCTGGCCCAAGTGGCTGGGGAGAGGGACGTCTGGGTCTCCCTACTGAAGCTGCTACACCCACGACCCGACCCCGGATAAGCGGAAGAAAATAGATGGATGGATGTTCCTGGATTTTTGTTTCTGTTCCCATCTACATTGCATTAAATCTACCACAACTCATCTCTGTCTCCTGATCTCTGCATTTGGGCTCTCACCTAACTTCAACCAAACCTGACAACATCTGGTTTAAGGAATCAAAAACAAATCAAACTTTTAAGTGAGAACAGCACAAAACATCAATAATGATCCAGAACTTTAAGCTGATTTATAGGACAATCAACAAACACATCTCATTTTAATTTTAGTAACACATAATATGTCCCCAGGGGCATAGAGAATAACCTAAACTACAGAACAAGAATTATATATATATTTTTGTATGATAAAAATATAGTCATAGAAGATTACTTAAACCCATTATAAGGACATACAGTAGATGCCATGTTGAACTGTCAATTTTCTTAATGAGAGATGATCGTACAAAACAACTTTGCATCTTCTCTAACCCACAATAGGATCAGGATAAAACTTTCAGCCGATTTAATAGCCCAACAGCTACTTGGCTTAATGTACTCAGTTAATTTGTATGGAAATGCCCTGCTTTATATTGCCTTCAACAGGCTCCTAGCATAAATCTGGATGTTTTAAAAACTGTCTTGGAAAAAGAAAGAGTAAATGATTGTCAACTCCCTCTTAACAGTTCTAAACCTGGTGCAAGGCACCAGCAACACCAGAGGTTCCACAGCATGATGCAGTCATCAGCATGACTCTAGTTTTCAAATAGTAAATCATTGTCTCCATGAGGCTCTTCTACAGAATATTTCTGTCTTTCTTGGTGGATGATATAAATTTAGCTTGAAGATGTTGATCTGATGTGTGATGCGGTTCGCTTTGGTCTAATTGTTCAGTTGACATCAAAATGCCTTCTCTTTGGACAATATAACTTCATTAATCTATGTGATAACAAACTTGATTGTCTCTTTAACTGTTCCAGAATACTTTAAATAATTCCATTTAATCTGAGGATGGCAGTTGGGTCAGGTAGTTGCATTTGAGAACAACAGGTCGAACAGGATAACCCCAGGCAATAATCCCTGGTATGCCAACATTAAACATCTGGAATTACACAGACTATTTACTATAATAAATGTGTTTGCTATATTTCAAAGCCAGACCTTGACAATAAACCTGGAATTATAAATTGACTTTACTAGTTCTGTTTGGAACAACTGTTCAGAATTAATCCTAAACCAAGGCAGAGCCTTCTTGACTAATGTGCACCTGGCTAGAGGACTTCTAAACAAATATTAGTGAAGGAGTAAACCTGTATTTGAGGCTATACATATAACTTTGATTGTTGTAAAAAAATTCTCATCTGTACACCTAATTATTACCTGCATCAACAAAGACCTAAAATATTCAATCATTCATGATCATATTGAGTGTATTTAGACCTCTGGCCAGCACAGTATTTAGACTGGATTTCTTTTGAGAATTGCACTTCTAAATTTGTCCAGCAGATGGAGTAGCCTTTCAGGAACAGAGTGCTCTTGTTTTCAATTTAAAAACAACTTAATGTAGCTGTTATTTTAAAAGTCACTTATAAAGTAACCTCCTTTAGCAACAGTATTTATTCAAACGCCTATTTATGCAACATAGACTGTATTCTATATGTGCAAGTGTTTCTTTTTTATGTTGTGTAAATATCTCAATTACTTAAGAAATGTTTACTGAATGGTAAAGAAAATTTAATTTCTCTTTTGCCTCTGGATATAAAAGATCAAACAAATTACCCTTAAGATTAACTAAAAAGAAAGGAAAATAACCAAACTTACATGCACATTAGTAAGTATCTCAAAGCAAAGGCATTAGGATACACAGATGCTGTATATTAAGTCTGATTTTAGCAGGTTTCTATAAAGATGAAACAAAGAGCAGTCTTACCAGTTGTAACATCATGGTTGATTCCAGCAACAGAGATCTCAGCTTTACTGATTGGGTTGTTGTTCTCATCATAAACCATGCCCTTTATCCCATGATGCACCTAAAAACAGGCACATTGTACTGAACAAATTTAAAGGAAAAAGAAAGTTTCTGTGGTTTGAATCATCTAAAAACATAATGGAAAGTATTTTACAGCTGTTAACCAGCATTCAAATAAAGTCATAGAGTCACATATTACATTTCAAACAAACTTTCCAAAACAATAAACTTTCTGCAGACTCTGGGACCTTTAGTCTCTGGTTTCCCTACTAGCCACAATGAAAGTATTTTTCAGACTTCCTGCCCATTTATGTTCATCATAGTAAATTAGGAGCACATTTCCTCTTAAACCAAACCACAAAATTCATTGGGAGGCAAATTTCTCAGAAACTCAAGCCCCAAATTTAGAAAGTGAGTGCATTCTTATAATTTAGTGACAAAATTCAAACCTGTTCCAGGTATGAAATCAATGCTTCTCGGTTGCCGAGCCATTCTCTGGGCAGCGCCGACTCTGGGGGAAACTTGTCACAGCTCAGCTCTAGAGTGATCTCAAAGCAGTTGGTATAAAGGTAGTTGAAGTCCTGCATGCCTAAAAGATAAAGATATTAATATTGTTAAATTTCAAAAGATAAATTTGCTTTTAAAGTTTAACGTTTAACTTACAAACAATATATAATATGTGAGGCCCACGAACATTTTTCTCAGTTCTTTCTTTTTTCATACTAAATGTTTGAGATTGTAAAGCCAATGTTAAAATAAGGTAGCAAGGAGATCAATAAATAAAAAAATAATTTTTCAAAGGATGTTTCCTTTAATTTATTGGAAAGCAATGAAGACAGACCAACATAGCTCTACAGAAATCCTTGGAAGAAAAGTAACTGTGATTACAAATATTTCTCTGGCTCATTTTCACTATCATCATCCAGGCCTAAGTCCTACGGACCTCTTGAATCAAAGTGCAATCTGTCTGACAGCATAAGGAAAATTAAAATGCCTCATAAAGTAAAGTAAAAGTCAAGAAGAGACACAAAACAAACTCATTGAGATCTATCAGTCTGGAAATTTTACTGAGTCGTAATTATAAATAAATTATCACTCATCTCTGGATGATGTAAACATAAAACAGGTTAAAATTGGAAGGCAACTGAAGATGTTTCAATTCCTGTTCCCTCTGGATAGGTGTTAAAACATCTTCAGAAAAAAAAGACAGTCTGGATGCCTTTGATTTAAGCCTATTTTGTGGTTACCGGGTCATTTTTAAAGCTTAAGGACTCTAAAGAACCAGAGAGGAAGCGATTATGTACAAATAGAGAAAACGTGGAACTGTGGTGAACCTTCCCAGGACTGACTGGTTCACCAAACCGACTTAACGTTAAATCAGTGGCTTATCCAGAACGTCACAAAGGAATCCAGAAGATCAAAAGAAGTCAAGAACTACCCCTTATACAGTAATCTGCCTTTTATCCCAGTGCAATCCATCCTAGCATGTTTAACAGTTTATGGTTTTATCCTTCTATCCTTGTTGATGTCTTTGATTATTGTTAATTGTGGAAATTGTGCTGAGATGTAGACTATGTTCTGAAAGCCTTTGGCTGCTGCTGTGATATAAATTTCCCCTTGCGAGACAATAAAGATTTTAACTGAACTCCAAGCTTCACTTACCTTCTTTAAGATATTTATTTTGGTTTAACAATAAAAAAGATTGTTAAAAAATGGCCTCTGTGGAGGCGTTCCCCAAAAAAGACAAATACTAATTGTTGGAGTTGTCACATTTGATTAGTTGTAGGCAAAAGGTGAAAGTACCGCATCCCTCTGTAGCTGGAGCCATGAATAATGTGTAATTTCCATTACTTCTTTGTGCATGGTAGCACGATAAGGCTAATATAAAAATACACTACTAAAAAAAATTAAAGGAACACTTTGTAATCATAGTATAGCACCAAGTTAATTAAACTTCTGGGGTATTGATTTGGTCAGGTAAGTAGCAGAGGGGGTTGTTAAGTTGTTGTTCAGTTTCAGCTGCTTTGGTGTTAATGAAATTAACAACGGGTGCACTAGAGGGGCAACAACGAGACGACCATCAAAACAGGAATGATTTTACAGGTGGAGGCCACTGACATTTTTTCCCTTTCTCATCTTTTCTGACTCTTTTTCACCAGTTTTGCATTTGGCTAGGGTCACTGTCACTACTGTTAGCATGAGGCACTACCTGGACCCTACAGAGGTTGCACAGGCAGTCCAACTCCTCCAGGATGGCACATCAATACGTGCCATTGCCAGAAGGTTTGCTGTGTCTCCCAGCACTATCTCAAGAGCATGGAGGAGATTCCAGGAGACAGGCAGTTACTCCAGGAGAGCTGGACAGGGCCGTAGAAGGTCTACAACCCATCAGCAGGACCGGTATCTGCTTCTTTGTGCATGGAGGAGCAGGAGGAGCACTGCCACTACATTTTGTAGGGCACTGTGCTACAAAATGACCTCCAGCAGGCCACTGGTGTGAAAGTCTCTGACCAAACAATCAGAAACAGATTTCACGAGGGTGGCCTGGGGGCCCGGCTCACTGCCTGGCATCGTGGAGCTCGATTGGCATTTACCACAGAACGCAGGAATTGACAAGTCCGCCACTGGCTCCCTGTGCTTTTCGCAGATGAGAGCAGGTTCACACTGAGTACATGTGACAGACGTGAAAGGGTCTGGAGAAGCCGTGGAGAACGTTATGTCAGAGATGGGAAATGTGGAGTCAACAAGTCATCTCCATGTCATGTATTTGTTCTACCCACCCACGGAAGCATGTGAGTCCAATCTTCACCGTGAATCAACCTGTGCAGATTGGACTCATCTGGTTAATTGGCTGGGTAGATTAAACACATGACATGGAGATTACTTGTTGACTCCACATTTCCCATCTCCACATTATGATGCCTGTAACATCATTCAGCATGACCGGTTTGGTGGTGGGTCAGTGATGGTCTGGGGAGGCATATCCATGAAGGGACGCACAGACCTATACAGGGTAGACAGCTGCACCCTGACTGCCATTAGGTATCAGGATGAAATCCTTGCACCCATTGTCAGACCCTATGCTGGCGCAGTGGGTCCTGGGTTCCTCCTGGTGCACGACAATGCCCGGCCTCATGTGGCGAGTGTATGCAGGCAGTTCCTGGAGGATGGAGGAAATGATACCATTGATTGGCCCTCACGCTCGCCTGACCTAAATCCAATAGAACACCTTTGAGACATCATGTTTCCATCCATCCAACGCCACCAGGTTGCACCTTAGACTGTCCAGGAGCTCGGTGATGCCCTGATCCAGATCTGGGAGGAGATACCCCAGGACGCCATCCGTCGTCTCATTAGGAGCATGCCCCAATGTTGTCAGGCATGCATACACAAGTGAGTTGCTGCAATGAAATTTTAGTAAAATGGTCTGGCCTGCCGCATCATTTTTCCGCTGTAATTTTTGGGGTGTCTTTGAATTCAACCCTCTGTAAGTTGATAATTATCATATACATGAAAGGATGTGGCATCCTTTTGTTCCTAACACATAAACTCAGTCCATATCAGTATGAATAAACGGCATGATTCTTTTCACCATTGAGATCTGATGTGTTTTCAAAGTGTTCCTTTAATTTTTTGACCAGTGTATATGCTTTACATTAAACACTACTTTGGAATTTAAAACACAAAAACTCCAAGTGTGATACATTAGGTCAATAAAAAACAAGAAATTGTTNCACCAGTTTTGCATTTGGCTAGGGTCACTGTCACTACTGTTAGCATGAGGCACTACCTGGACCCTACAGAGGTTGCACAGGCAGTCCAACTCCTCTAGGATGGCACATCAATACGTGACATTGCCAGAAGGTTTGCTGTGTCTCCCAGCACAATCGCAAGAGCATGGAGGATATTCCAGGAGATTACTCCAGGAGAGCTGGACAGGGCCGTAGAAGGTCTACAACCCATCAGCAGGACCGGTATCTGCACCTTTGTGCAAGGAGGAGCAGGAGGAGCACTGCCAGAGCCCTACAAAATGACCTCCAGCAGACCACTGGTGCGAAAGTCTCTGACGAAACAATCAGAAACAGATTTCATGAGGGTGGCCTGAGGGCCTGGCTCACTGCCTGGCATCGTGGAGCTTGATTGGCATTTACCACAGAACGCCGGAATTGGCAAGTCCGCCACTGGCGCCCTGTGCTTTTCACAGATGAGAGCAGGTTCACCCTGAGCACATGTGACAGACGTGAAAGGGTCTGGAGAAGCTGTGGAGAAGGTTATATCAGAGATGGGAAATGTGGAGTCAACAAGTCATCTCCATGTCATGTATTTGTTCTACCCACCCACTGAAGCAGGTGAGTCCAATCTTCACCGTGAATTAACCTGTGCAGATTGGACTCATCTGGTTAATTGGCTGGGTAGATTAAACACATGACATGGAGATTACTTGTTGACTCCACATTTCCCATCTCCACGTTATGCTGCCTATAACATCGTTCAGCATGACCGGTTTGGTGGTGGGTCAGTGATGGTCTGGGGAGGCATATCCATGAAGGAATGCAGATACCTATACAGGCTAGACAACGGCACCCTGACTGCCATTAGGTATCAGGATGAAATCCTTGCACCCATTGTCAGACCCTATGCTGGTGCAGTGGGTCCTGGGTTCCTCCTGGTGCACGACAATGCCCGGCCTCATGTGGCGAGTGTATGCAGGCAGTTCCTGGAGGATGGAGGAATTGATACCGTTGATTGGCCCCAATGTTGTCAGGCATGCATACACACCTACATGCATGCATACAAATTACTGAATACCATTTTGAGTTGCAACAATGAAATTTTAGTAAAATGGACTAGCCTGCCGCATCATTTTTTCCGCTGTCATTTTTTTTGAGCAGTGTATATGCTTTACATTAAACACTACTTTGGAATTTAAAACACAAAAACTCCAAGTGTGATANGGAATTTAAAACACAAAAACTCCAAGTGTGATACATTAGGTCAATAAAAAACAAGAAATTGTTGCAGAGAATTTATGAGAAAGAAGGGACTTTTCAGACCATTAAAGTCAACTACAGTTATAGAGGATATATATATATATGTATAAATTTATCTTCGATTCCATGACTCCGTTATGTTTTTGCTTGAAGTTATCAATCATACGGTCAGACTTTCATGCCGACCCATGCCTGTAAACTGTTCAGTGACAGTTACTAGAGAAAACTGATGCCCGTTGATGCAAATCAGAACAGTCAAATCCTTTCTTTCTAAATAGCAGCAGAAAAAAAATTCTTATTGATTTGAAATGCTTGTGTGGCAACAAATGCAAAAAAATATATAAATAATAAAAATAATTTGTAAGCAGCCACATACTTCTTTGCAGAGCTGGGTTTGTTTTAATTTCTCTATTTAAGCTTTTGAAAGCCACTTCTTGTTCCTTTTGAAGTCTGTGATGAAGCTCATACATTCAAGGCAAGGCTTAGAAGGGAACAGTTCAAAAGTAACTTCACAGACCATGACACAACACTTGGAGCAAAGTGACTTGTCAAATTAAACATAACATAGTCTTGCTAAATGAGACTGCGGCTGGTTTTATCCTATTCAAAAGCTCGTATGACCCAACTGTAAAGCTCTGCAGGTTCACATTCCAAAGAAACACCAGACACCCCAGGCTACAACTTACAACATCAAAGAGGTGGGTAATGTTATGGCTACAGTATGGATCAACTGAATAAACATGAAACGCTAAAGGTCTCATCTAAAGAAAGTAAGCAATATGATTACAATCACGGTTCTTCCAGCATAACTGACTGTTTTCTTTTATGGCACCAAACTTGAACTTGGTTTCAAATGGAAATTATAGCTGTATAGCTCAACTGTTCAAAAGCATTGTAGATTAAATGACCTGTTCTTATGCCTCAGTACAGTTTATATGCATGCATAAATATCTGATTATATTTGTCATTAGTCTTTCTATGTCTGAGCAGAAGCAAACAACAAAAGAGAGTGTTTGAGCAAATCAAATGAAACTGCATATAAAACACTTTCCAACACAAGTGGATCTTAGATTACAAAAATAATAACAAATATAGAAAATAAAATAAAACAATGAGAATGGGTCAAAAAACAAACAAAAACAAAATTTAAAAAGAAATTCTGTCCCCTGTACCGTTGGACCTGAGGAATCTCTTTTTGGATAATAAGGTTTGGTAAAGGGCAGCTGAGCTTGTATGAACTTGTTAGGCCAGAACCAAAGCTTTAAATATAATAATTTATTAAACAGGAAGACAACTCCTCTGCAAACCAGAGGAGGAAAGACAACAAGCAGCAGGTTTTTTGGGGGATCAGCTGAAATCTCTCAGAGTAAAGGTGGAGAAACCTGCAAAAAGCTGCTCAGATAAAGCTAATAATGCCAAGATGGAACAAACATGTGAATAAGTTTCTTTGCATCATCCTGAAAAAGATTTTTCTCACTTTAGTAATGTAGTTAAGATGACGAAAAAGCTTTAGAAATTGCTTTATTTGTGAAGTAGAAGAAGATCTGGAACAGAAACATTTGAAATCACTAAACCGAATAAAGCATTGCTGCTTTATGTGCATCATGCTTTGAAGCAAACACAACAAAGCTTTACAAAAGTAATTATACCACATATTTCTCCGATGACTTTGATTCAAAAGAGAAAGAAAGCCTAGTTTTATCATTTAATTTCAGGGCCTGCCCATACTTGCCTTCCTTCTGCTGCTCATTCTATCCCTTTGTACAGCTGAAAGTTGTAAAATTGATACAATATTATTTCTGGTCATTACTTCAAAATGTTTGTAAACCGCTAACCACAACACTCCACACATAGAGGTTACACATTTTATTGCCTTTAATCACAGCCTGATGTCTTTTAAATAAATAACGTAAAACAAAAAAGAAGAAGAAGTTTAACGTTACACTCCTGGAACATTACAGGATGGACGACCCAAATAGACTAAAGTTTAAAAGGTTTAAAACCAGATAATGATGAGTCAGTCAAAGTGATAATCTATCAAACTTTTCTTTGCTGAGTCAGAAAAAAAGCTTAAAAAGGATTGTGTCATGCTGCAAAGCAATGACCAAAGGTCCACGAGCAATCTTTAGGAAAACAATGAATAAAAAAAAAAAAACAGGAAACAAGCAAATAATCCATGGCAGAAAAGACACACATGGATTAAAAACTATCATCTGGCAAATTATTGCTAAAAAATAAGAGAATGCATATTTAAGAGCTTACCAACAAGAGAAGAAATATATAAAAAGGGTTTATTCATGTCTGGGAGTGAAGGTTTGGTTACCTTTGGACAGAGAGTACCAGCTGGCTCCATTGGTGATCCCTTCGTTAAAGAAGTCTCCACAGTTCCAGCCTTTGTGCATCCAGCTGTGAGCGTACGAGTAGGTCCGAGCCAACTGCCATCACAAACAAATGCATGTGCTCTTCATCATTCACACGTTTAAATGAATAGATAACAGTGAGACCATGTCAGATGTGCAACATCTGGAAGGAACTTTTAACCAGCTGCACACCTGCCTGAAGATTTTGTCATCTGGGGTGGCTGCGTATGTGGTCCTCCCTCGAATGCGGGGGTCTCTCGACCTGTCGAAGGGATAATTGGCAACCACTGCTCCTCCGTGGAGATTGGCCGATAAGATGAAGTTGTAGTTTTGCATCCATTTTATAACGGCCAGAGTCTCGGGTTCGACCTATGAAGGGAAAGTATAAAAGAGATGCTGAGGCTTGGAACACAATGAGAAGTGCAAGTTAATGCAAAAACAAGGTGAAAGTACTTTTAATATATATTTACTAAATTTCTAAAACAATAAATTGCAAAACTGCATATGATGCTCCAGCTTTACCAACACAGAGAATGATGAAAAAAAAGAGGTGCATTATAATTTAGCCACCTTGATTCGCTGCTTTGTAGATGTATACATCTTTCTCTACTATACATATAAAATAATACAAAATATATAATCAGCTTTCCCAAAGCATGATGCTTCTAACTATGTTTAAATCTATTGCAAATAGATTTAAATGTCTTATTTTGGAGTCATTTGACAAGAGCTTCTTTTTTTTTTGGTTGAGATTTTATGGCACTAGTGGCTCGTTTACCTTGACAGTAGGATGACAGGAAAGGGGGTACGAGAGGGGGACAGACATGCGGCAAAGTACCACAGGTAGGATTCAAACCCGGGTCAGTCGCATCGAGGACTAAGGCCTCCCTACATGGGTCGTGCGCGCTAATCACTGCGCCAACCTGCACGCCCCAAGAGCTTCTTAAAACTGGGGTGTCCAAACATTGTTTATTGCTAGCTGGAAACAAGATTTCTCATGGCTCTCTGTCATCCATTTCTTCTTCCCACTTTTCAAAAAAGCTTAGATTTATTAAGTGCATCTTTGTGTCTTGTTTTTCTTCCATTTCATAATTATACACTTCTTTTCTATTTTTCTTTTGGTATTTAATTGAATCTTGTGGTTGGATCATGACAAAGTCATATGTTTATGCTCTTTAAAAATACTTTAGCAGAAACAGTATTGATGGTAATTAAAATAACCGGTTATCGATGCAGCAGAACATGTTGCAGAACAGACACAGCATTTGGTAGACAAAATGAATCCTCTGAAAAATTAAACATGCTTTCAAAAAGCCTTAGGATATAAGAAACCTTTAAAAAAGTCTAGAAACCTTTAAAAAAGTCTACACCAAAAAACATTTTTATTAATAAAGAAATGGGAGTTAACAATTTCAGCTTCTCCAAGTTCTTTGGGATCTCTAATGCAAAAGATTAAAGCTCAACCTTGAGCTTCTATTTATTTTCCAGACTAGTGGAAAACATAGCTGTTCTCTCCCAGCCCTGCATCATGTAATCGCTCTTTTTGGGAACAGCCTGTAGAACAATAAACACAGTCTGCCGCCCTGTTACTACTGACCTTGAACACATTAGATGTAACCAAGCAGGATGACTTAAACGTATCTGTGAACCTTTAGTGATGTCAGTACATCATATAAAGTAGAAGTTGTCAACAAACTGATGGACCTCGACTTTAGGAAAGAGGCTGTGACCCACAGAATAACAATGGCTCAGTTCACATTACACACTGAATCCCAGTCAGTCAGTCAGTCTGCTTCACTGCTTTAGTCTATTTTATCTTCCTGTCCTACCCTCGAGTCACAATCATTCATAGTTATCACACATCTACAGTTGACATAGTGTTCATGTCTGTATGCAATGAAGCCCTTTTATTAATAGATTTAACTGTCAGAAATGTTGTTATAAAAATTGTGACAAGACTCAAAGTTATATGGTTTTAAATTGACAAAATATTATAAAAAACAGTAATAAAGTGGCAACCTATCCAAAAATGGATGGATGGATGGATGGATGGATGGATGGATGGATGGATGGATGGATGGATGGATGGATGGATGGATGGATGGATGGAT